CTTCTACTGAAGCCTTCTGAGTAAATCGCCAGAACGCCGACACCTCCTCATCTCCACCGCTCCCATGTTTTCTTTTGTGTTGCCATAAGTTAGTCTCTCTGCGTTTGTGCGCTGGGCTAATGCTAATAATGCTAATGCAAGGATAATAAAATGTCGGCTTCACAAAACCTTTTTGGAGTTTTACGGGGTGTGGTTTGCATTCCGCCCAGCCAATCAGACATAGGAACCTTTTTCTCCCACGAAAGTAGCTGCTCTCTAGCAGGGGGTTAAAAAGGTTCTGATTAACTAATTTTAGTTCCGGCTCTTTTTGGTGTGAACTCGACATTTCGGAACTAAAGTGGGAAAAGTACTGCGGTGTGAACGCGCCTTTTGTCTTCACAGAGGAGAGCTCATGCATGCTCCAAAGGGGCGTGGCCAGCAGCAGCTCGGCAACATTTAAAGGGCCAGACCCAGAACCAGCCCTTTATTAACAGGGCTGAAATAGAGGGGTATGAAACAGGGCTAGAATGGGTGATCTGTTTGGTATTTGTTGGAGGGGGGTAAACAGTTAGGGTTCGAGGGGTCGGCCAAAATCTTCCCTGCCCACCTCAAGGCATATTCTTGTTATTGTTTTTTTGCAAAGCTATTAGTTTCAGCTCATGGCCAACATTTTAAACTGCTTCTTTTTTGTTTCTTCTTTCTTTTATAATAACCCTGCCTCCTAGTCTAAGTGTATTTTCACACCAGTAATCGTGATTATTTACTTTTACACAGGTCACCTTGATTTACTGGTGTCTTTATCTGTTCTGTGATATCTTGAATAAATGAAGCTTTTATACTTTTTTAAGGTATTAAGGATTTGTAATTATTATTACATTGTAGTACTTTTAAGTTGAGGATCAGAATAGTTATTTCAACACGATGAAAATCATCAGATTGAATGCATTGCTGTATCATCAGATGACTTTACACAGTGTGTGTTGTTGTGTCCATCACGCTGCTGGCTGTATTCCTGAATATAATGCAGTATTTGATGATAACTTTTTGCCGCCCTCCACAGACTCCTCCGGCTTTGGCTTTGTGACATTGGGAGGTTCCTCTTTTGCTGATTTGGCCCAAACCACAGACGGGTTTGCATTTGGAGGTCAAGGTGAGCTTCTACATTTTCTCCAGTCTTCTTGACAACCGACTGTCTTAGCAACAACGTCTTATTTCAACACCATCTATTGGTTTTCATTTATGAAGACTCCAACTTCTCATGGGCAAACGCTGGGGCGACGGTATTCAGGGCGGGCATGAGCTCTGCGCCAAAAAATGACAACGGTGAGGAAGGCAGTGATGAAGAGGACGCTAATAATGGGGACATTCACTTTGAGCCAATCGTGTCACTACCAGAGGTACGTTAAACTGAGCTGTCATACTGTAGCTTTCCATTTTCCACATTAATTGAAGTGATGCGTTCAGGATAACTCCTCGTCTCTGCGCCTCTCAGGTGGAGACCAAGTCTGGAGAGGAGGATGAGGAGATCCTGTTCAAGGAGCGCGCCAAGCTGTACCGATGGGACCGCGACCTCGGCCAGTGGAAGGAGCGTGGCGTCGGCGACCTGAAGATCCTCTACCACCCGAGCAAACGTTTCTACCGGATCCTGATGAGGAGAGAGCAGGTGCTGAGGGTGTGTGCCAACCACACCATCATACCAGCTATGGAACTCAAACCCATGAACGCCTCGGCCAACGCGCTGATCTGGACCGCCACCGACTACTCAGGTACTGAAGGAGGGTTGATGCAGAGTCTGCATTTGTCCGCCCGAGAGGACCCTAATCCGGGTCCTGTGGGTAGTTTGTTCATGAAACTGTTTCTCAGGGCTTTTTAATATTTAAAAACCAATCGAACCATTTTTACCGAGCCCTGAGAGAAAAAAATGCTGACTCACTTAGCACATAACTTAAGGTAAAAATACCCTTGTTACTTATCGTAACTGCACATACAAGTTATCAGATTAAAGCTGATAGGTATAAGTATCATCACTGAGCGATCAGAACTCGCGACAGGGGACGGAAACACAGACATCACAACACGTAGCTTTACGGAGCATTCACGGGAGATCGTCTCACCTTAGCTGTTATTCTGATCAAAAGTCGTGTTCAATGGCATTAAAACGATAAAAGATGTTGCTGAAGGTTAATCCAATGTGTCTGTCACTTTGAAAAATTATTGATAATTCATCATTCCATTTTTATGTAAAAAACAGAAATTTCATATTAGCTGCTAATGATAGCCACCAGAGTGTATAGCAGCTTCCGGTTCCGGTGCATTCTGGCTGCGCATCACTCATTCACCAATGGATAATGTTTAGATGGATTTTTATCATTCATCAAACTCGAAGGGGGCCAGAGATATGGAAAATGACCCCAGAAGTGTTTTTTTTTGCTAAATCTCTAAAAAGGTAAAATGTCACTTGTTTTGCATCAATCTTGATACAGGGTACTTATTGTATGTTATAGTTTGGATTCCTAAAGCTTTTAGTCTACTATCCCATCAATCAAGGGTGGTTTTCACTATAAGTATTCTTTTTTTTAAATTTTTGGACGGACACAATAATTTACATTTTTTTTTTACTATGTTCAATCTGAATTTACTTTAAAATAAAAAAAATCTATATTGATTCTTACTTTTCTACATCCAACTCACAGGTTTATCATTACTTTGAGATAAAAGATTATTAATTTAATTTTAGAAGGGAAGATATGGTCATTTGTTCTGGGAATGTCATTTTCGAGCCTGAGACCTGAAAAACAGGCTCAGGGCTTAACAGGTTAAAGGGGACCTATCATGCAAAATGCACTTTTTGATGTCTTTTATACATAAATATGTGTCCCCGGTGTGTCAGGGGACTCACGCAGCGTCAGAAAATAAAACCCTCTCTCTTTTCCTCCTTACCCAAATCTGTAAAAATGGGGCTACAACGGAGCTGATCCAGATTTGTGTCCGATATGACGTAATAACGGAAATGTAGGCTGGCTTTACACCCACGGCCCTATCAGAAACAATGCCCGACTGCTTTGGACGTAATATGGTTGGTGCATGTTTACGTTAGCGTCGCAAACACTCAAGAGCTAACCTGTAGCCTACTGCAGAGAGCATGTGTGTGAAGAAACACCTTCTATCATACATTTAACCGCAATCATAAGAACTGGCTTTTAAACAATCAAAAATTTGAACACTTTTAACTGTATCAAGGTATGATGATATTTCATCTGTTTGCATGTTTGTTTGTTCCACTCTATTGTTGTACTGCTGTTCCTATTTATTGTTGTACTGCTATTTATTTATTGTTGTACTGCTGTTGTCTGCTGTACTCTATTTAATTATGTTTTTATTTCTCTAGTCTTGTTGTGGTCATTTAACATCTTGCCAAGGACAACAGTTGAAAATTAGCCTGCTGGCTAATACTGGCTCATTTACAGCAATGTGGATTATTTTGCACTGTCCTTTTAAATAAAAAAAAATAAATAAATAAAAAAAAGAAGAAGCAGGAAATAAAAAGGACCTTTTGGTATAACCGGCAAGAGAGAAAGCCTTTGAGTTCCATACTGTTTCAGAAATAATCCTTGATAATCCATGATATGGCGTTTCATCACGGCAGTATTTAGTTTAGACAGTAGCTGCCGGGTCCCGCATGAGCTCAGCCCCCTCCTTTTTTATCTGTATCTATTTTTATTTGTTTAAACCTTTATACCCCAAATCAGCACTTTAGAAACAGGAAGTGAAATAGAGGAATATGAGGCATGGCTAGAATGGGGTGATCTGTTTGGTATTTTGAGTAAAACACTTCATAGACATGTTTGTTATATATTTGTATATATCTGAGACCTATGCTATTGCCTAAAAATAGCATGATAGGTGCA